TGTTATATTATGAAAAGTAAGAAAAGTTGTGGGATAGTTTATACTCAAAAAAAAAAGCGGTGGGATGACTTACTTTTTAACTTCTAGCACTGCATAGCAATGCAATGATAAAAAAAGATGAGTAATCGAGGAGCAAAAAACTTAAAATTTAAAAATAACTTTTTATCTATTTTATGTTTTTGCCAAACATCTGAAAATAACTAAAATATTTGAACATAATATTATTGATTTTCAAATAATAAAATTATTAAAAAGAATAAAAAAAACATTGTTTTTCTAATACCTTTCTTTTTAACATACAGCTTTGAACATGATTTTTATTGGTCATTGAAAAGCAATGACTATTTATTATATGTATTTTTTTCAAAGTAATGTTTCTTTGAAAATTTAAATATTGCAACAAAATATTATAAGTGATATAAAAAAAAAATCAGTAACTGGAACTGCTAAACTCCTGAAGCTAAGTCACCCTTTTCTGCTGATAATCTAAAAATGTTTAGCTTATCTACAACAGCATATATGCTGCGGCAGATAAGCTAAACATGAAAAAATATGATCAAAGTTTTGTTCTCTTTTATTATATATGAAAAAACACATTAATTTGAATGAATGTATCATATATATTTATGATGTATTACATACATACATTATGTGTTGCAATACAATTTGTCATCATGTATGATTTTTTTAAGATATAATATATTTTCTTCTTACCTTATTTGTATCGAATCAATGTTAATTTCTATGTTCGTTAATTAATGATTAAAAAAGTAAATTCCAGTCATGTAAATTTACTAAATTACATCCATTTTTAAACAGTTTTTTCTCTAAAATAAAATAAATAAGATAATAATAACTTGAGTTTACAACTACAAAAATTTTATCAATGTAGAATAAGTGTATACAAAAACAAAGTATATCCATTTGTGTGCAAGTACTATATGTTTAAGTATTCAATGCAATTTGTCTGCATATATACAGTTATGTTATAATATAGAATTACTATTTAAACCTTGATTATGGTGAATCAATGTTCATTTCTATTTTCGTTAAATAATTATCACAAAAATAGATTTCATTCATGTAGAATTACTAAAAACATCTATATTTCAACAGTATTAGCTCTAAAAAACAACATGAAAATATAATAGGAAATTAAGTTATTACATTTACAAATATTTTGACAATGTAAAAGAAGTTACTTGTGGGATAATAATTAGCACATAATAATTAATTTTATTCCATTAATTATTAATAATATCCATATAAGAATAATGATCAACTGGCCTGAAATAAATTTTATTTGACAAATAATGTGTCATAATGTTATACAAATTTTATTAAAACTGAAGATACATATAAAAATATACTTAAATAAAGAACTCAGCTACATAGGGCAGAAAAATATACTCTTCTCTTATATAAACTATATAATGCCAACTTATAATAAAAATAAAGCTATAATGCTAATAATATAAGGGTTTTAACAACTTTTCTAAACTACTAACAAAAACTTAATAACAACTTTTCTAAACAACTAAAATTCATTTTTACGATTTGTCATAATTCAGAGACCATATCATTTGATAAAAACATGTGGTCAGCAAAATTTCATACAGACTCTATAATATTTTAAAACGGCCTTAACTACACTGAGTAGCTAGAAAAAAATTTAAAACATTCTTATGAAAATGAAAAGTTTTTTCGCTGCATTTACTTTTTTACTATAAATAGATGCTGCAAATGTTTTTCAAAACCCCTTAATATGCTTATCACGTATTTCTAGAAAAATGCAATCAAAATAAAATTATTAAAAAAAATTAACTCTTGGTAAAACGTTTTTTGAAATGAAAAACTTTTATGAATTTTTCAGAGCTCTTTAAAAATATGTATTCAAAAAGGTTAGTAGACATAAACTAACTTATTTTGTAAAAAAGTCATAATTGGTCTTTTTTACTTTAAGGTGTTTTGAAAAACGGCTGCAGTACGGATGATACAACAAATGATAATGAGATAATTTTAATAATAAATGAGATAATTTTGATGCAAAATTTAAAAGCTTTTAACAAAAGCGACTAAACCAAAAAAATTAAGAGTAATTACAGTTTAGTGCACTTAAAAATTTTAATATAGTGTGTTGGTGTTCGCAAAGAAACATAAAAATCATTTTTTAATTCTAATATAAACTAAACTTTGTTGTGCTTAACCACCCCTATAAAAACAATGTATATATAAACAAATATGTTATTTCTTTATATATATTGTTTATAAAATGTAAAAAATTCACTTATAACATTTTGTTCAGGATCTTATGTAATATAAGTAAACTTTTCTAATAATTACAAGTCTTTTTTGATCAAGCTGTTTTGTTTTGATTTTTTGTAGTTATGTTATTATATATTTAAAAAATTGACAAGATTGAAAAAACACAAAATATATTGTCGCATCCAAATGGAAAATTTGAAACTTCAAATTTAGATTTACCCCTCTTTCAATAATTTCTGATTGCTAAAATTACTTCATTTGCTTCTAAGACCTTTCAAAATGATAGTTACAAAAATAAGATTTTATTTTTTTTTAAAAATCTTTTTATGAAAGATATATAAAATATATTTTTATGGGATATATTCTAATAAAGACAAAAACTATTTATTTATTACTATTATAATAAATACAGTCTCTTATTTGTGAAAATGATATATCTGTACAAGTTTTATATATTTTTATTCATTTGTATGCAACATAATTAAAATTAATAAAAAAAAAGTAAGATAAATTTTAAAGTAAAAGGATTTCTATATGTTAAAATAAAACTTTAAAGTTTTATTTTAACATATAGAAATCCTTTTTGGTATATTATTATTTTTTTTGTTATAAATATATAAGCAAGGTTAAAAAAATTTCAAAATTTATTACGCTAAGAGGAGGTCCTTAACCCTCCAAAATAACACTGATGACAGCACACTTAACCACTGAGATATCAATGGAATGCATTTAGCAGAAAAACAAACCTAATTATATGTCTTTTATAAGCTCTACGTATGCGGAAAAGGTGCACAAGTTTTTTGCTCTTAAAGTTTTTTTTCAAAATAAATTATTTTACTAAAAAATATTGAAGAAAATAAGGAATAGTTATAGAAATAATCGGTGAGGAATAGATATGTAAATTTATAAAGACCTGTATTTTACGGATCCGGAAAGCTAGGATATATAAGGAAAAAGTGTAGAAAAGTTTGGTTTGGAATAGATTTACAAAGACCTGTATTTTTAAAGGTCCAATCTCAGCTAATATATATAAATATAAATATAAATATACATAAATATATATATATATATATATATATATATATATATATATATATATATATATATATATATATATATATATGTATATATATATATATATAAATATATATATATATATATATATATATATATATATATATATATATATATATATATATATATATATATATATATATATATATATATATATATATATATATATATATATATATATATATATATATATATATATATATATATATATATAAATATTAAAATAATTTTTTTGTTATTTAATAACTTATTATAGAACAAAGAATATGTTTGGTCGAATATTTTTTTGACAATAAAAAAACGAGTTCCTTTATTTTAAGACTGAAAACTTTGTGATTCATACTTTACACTAAAATAAAATCTATTTAAAAACATGTTCCTTTATTTTTATTAATCTTGAGTTTACCAAAAAAGTCGAAATATACAAAAATACAGCACTTTTTTTTGGGAAAAATATTTAAAAAAATGTTTGGTCGGATAAATTTTTGAGACACTGTTTTTACGTCTGATGACGGTCTGAACTATTCAGACTGAAATATTACATAAATAAATTAAAATATTAGTACTTAGCTGTATTGTATGTGTTATAAATTAAATAAATAAATTATCAAGTACTACAAGAAATGTCATTAAAACAATTAAGACACTGTTTATATATATATATATATATATATATATATATATATATATATATATATATATATATATATATATATATATATATATATATATATATATATATATATATATATTTATATAGATAAAAATTTCATAAATTTATGAGTAATAAATAAAATTAACCATTTCGAAATAAAAGGTCAAAATTCAAATAAAATTGTTATGCAAACTCAGTTTGTTAGTGTTTTAACAACTTGCGTTTCCACCAAGAACTTTTATTACTTTGTGTAATCTGTTTTTCATAGAACAAACTAAGTTTTTGTTAATTTCTGGAGTGATTGAGCCCCACTCTTTCATAATTACTAATTTTAGTTGTTGCTGATTCCTCACATCGTGGGTGCTAATTCTTCTACCTAAATCATCCCACAAATGTTTGATAGGATTTAAATCTGGAGACTGTGGGGTGTATGAAGTTGCTTAGCTGTTTTAAAAATATGCCATTCCTTGACACATTTGGCTGTATGTTTTGGATCGTTATCTTGCTGAGAAATAAATGTTATAGTCCCAGTTTGTGGGCACTCTCTTCCAGATTATTTTTCAAAATGTTTAAATACACATTTTGAACCATATTTCATCAATGAAAACCAAGTTACCTACAGCACTCATACACCCCCACACTAAAACACTTTTTCCACCATGCTTCACCGTTAGACGCAAATTTTGTTTTTCAAATGCGCCTTAATTTTTTGGCACAGGAACGGGCATTGTTTATTTTAAAATGCTGTATTTTATTTTGTGTACCTTATTTTGTAAAAATTTTTTATACAATACTTCTTGAATGGTTATTTTATGTAATTATTTTATATAATAATATAATAATTTAGTTAAAATTATGCTTTGTCTTTGTATCTTATATATATATATATATATATATATATATATATATATATATATATATATATATATATATATATATATATATATATATATATATATATATATGGGAATTAAATCAATCTGTAATAAATTAGATTTTTTTTTAGGTCTATCTTTGCACAGATGCAAATACAGGCAAAAAAGTAGCTATGAAATGTATTGAGACTCAGAACATTGATAATAATGATTTTGTAAGAAAAGCAGTGGAAACTATAGAACAAGAAATTTCAGTATTAAGAATTTTAGATAATATACGAATTGTGAAATATTATGGTACTATTAGAGAAAGTACAACCATTTCTATTGTAATGGAGTTCATGGAAGGAGTTAATAAATTTTTTTTATTTTTGCTTTTTTTTATGCTGTATATCATTTTTTTAATTTTATTTCAGTTTAATTAAACAAAGTTTTTTCTGGGAAGGAAAGTTACCTTAAAATATATGAACACATACATGGGGGAGGAGGGGAGGGGATATTATAACAGCAAGTACATATGTGGTTTGACTTCTCTCGTTCTCTATCTCTGCTATAAGTTTATGTTATGAATCAAAGAATTGTTGAATTAACTAAGGGTTTATATATTTTGAAAAGTTTATGCGTTGGGACAGGGTAGGGGATCGATTTTGTAATAAATAATTTTTAAGCATGCAAGGTGGTAAATGGGCATTTGTATGCATGCAAGGTGGGAAACGGGCATTTTAAATAAACAAGTGTGTATAAAAAATGGGGAGGGAGGGTTTTAAATCAGCAGTTTTACTGCGTACTTAGTTTTTGGATACCCCAAAATGAAAAAATTTACTATGTGCTAAAAAAAGATTGTTATGTTATATTATGATGTGAAAAATTAAAAAACGAAATTAAACAGTTTTATCAAACAGTAGTAATTTTTTTGTATAATTGCTCTGCTATAAAGCAAATTAGTATGATAAAAGGCAAGAGCATGTTTTGCCAAAAAACATTATTAAAATTTTTAAAAATTTAAGTTTTTAAAAAAATTAAAAGATATTTAAAAGCACATGATATACATGGGTTGCAAATAAATTTGAAAAGTTTAAGTTAATTAAGTTCGATCAAGTGTGTTGAAAAAAAGTGAAACAAAAACATTCAACAAAAAATCAAAGTGAAAATCTGAGCAGAATAAAAAAAAGTATAGTTTAACTATTAAGTTATTTTGAATCAAATTTTGTTATGTAAATAACAATTTGCAATTATGTAAATAACAATTTGTTATGTAAATAAAGTTTTGTTATGTAAATAACAATTTAGAAATATTGCAAATTGTTATTTACATTACAAAAAAATTGATAAAATTTTGAAAAATATTAGAGCAATAAAAAATTTAAATTCTTTTCTTCTTTTTTTTTTTTTTTATAGATTTTTATTTATATTCCATGGTCTGAAAATTTAGAAGTTACAGAATCTTTTACATACATACAAATATATATATATATATATATATATATATATATATATATATATATATATATATATATATATATATATATATATATATATATATATATATATATATATATATATATATATTCATATTATGGTAGATAGGTTTTTAGTTGCTTTGATTAACAAGTTATGTACAAGTAATTCTTCCCATCTTTTATATACAAAATGATTGATATACACATGTAATATAAAATAACAGTTATTTTAAATACACATGTAATATAAAATAACAGTTTTTTTAACTTGTTTACTAACACTTGAGTTATTTAAACAACTTTAATGTAAGGTTTGAAGGGGAAGTGGTCTTGTTTTCCAGCCTGCTGGAAAGCAAAACCTGTTATCTTTCTTTTTAAAAATACTGAAGAGCGATCTGATGTATTTTTAAAAATAGGGTATTTTTAAAAATATAATATCTGGCAACATTTTTAGGATTATTGAATCCTTTATTTCCAATCGTAGTATAAAAGTCGTCCTTGATGGACAGCACATTTCTTCTTATTCTGTAATCTCAGGGGTTCCTCAAGGTTTAATCCTTGGCCCTATACTCTTTTTAATTTACATTAACAATCTTCCAGATATTGTCACATCTAAGGTGGCATTGTTCGCTGATGATACTACCTTTTATTCTTGTCATGATAAGAAGCCAACTCTCTCTGATTGCTTGGAGGGGGCATTTGAGCCTAAAAAGGGTCTCACTTCTGCTACAGCATGAGGCTCATAGTGGCTTGTAAACTTTAATTTAGATAAAACTCAATTTTTTCTGCCAATCATTATTGCAATAATTTAGACCTTCCTATATTTATTAACAGTAATGTACTTTATGAGTCATCTACCCTTCATCTTCTAGGATTAACTTTTACTTCTGATCTCTCTTGGAAACCTTATATCAAATCCGTTGCAAAATTAGCATCTGCTAAAGTTGCATATCTTTATCGAGCTCGACACTTTTTTACTCTGGTTTTTGTTCTTTATCTCTATAAATCTCAAATTCCGCCTTGTATGGAATACGGTTGCCATATCTGGGGCGGATATTCTAATATTTCGTTCTTCTTTTAGACAAGGTGCTAAAACGCATTGTAAACATAGTTGGACCTGCTCTTGCAGCCAAACATCACCCATTATCACATTGTCGTAATGTTGCTTCACTTTCTATTTTCTACAAACACCATAATGGACACTGCTGTAAAGAGCTAATGTCTCTTGTTACATCTACTAAATTTCATTCTCATGTTACATCATTTCTTGGAATTTGCTTACTTCATCTTGCTTTCCTGGTTTATATAATTTGCAATCTTTTAAGTTGTCTGTCAATCGTGATCTTGCTCTACAATCTTGATTTTTTCTTTTCCAGTAAATTTCAACACTAATTACAAGCCTTCCCAGGAAAGGCGTGCGGTTTTTCGTCTCGTATGACCACAAAAACATTTTTCATGTTAGAGAGCGCATGTTATATTGTATGCGTTGCTGAAAAATTGTTTTAAATTTAATAACTACATAAGAAATTAAAGTAAACTCAAATTCAGTAGGTCAAAACAAAAAAAAAAAAAAAAAAGAAAAACGGTTTTAGGCGTTAAAAAGGATGACTTTCCCATATTTTGTGTTTTTTCTTTTAAAGAGGAAAGAGAAAATATGTATCGTCATATGTTTGTAAAGTATATTTGTATAATTATAATGTAACAAGTTTATATCAAGAGTTAAATTATAAAATAGCGATTTGTAAACTCTAGTGAAATATAAATTTTTTAAAATTTTAGCTCATGCAAAGCTGTGTACTTTGTTTATAAGGAGCAAATTATTAAAAGTTTGCTAGCGAGATAGTTACAAAAAACAAAACAAAAACAAACTTACGACTACAAAAGTAGTAACACTTTAGTCACTAATTGCATTATGAAGGTAATAAAACTATGATAGTGTTATTACATTTATAAAGCACTTATTACTTTTAAAGTTCATTCTTTGTTCAAACAATATTATCAACTCCAAACATTTATTAATGAAGAAAAGCATCTAGAAAAAATAAATTGGATATTCGAATATTATTAAAAACTTCAGGAACTTTCACAGATCACTTAAACAATGTTTTAAAGAAGTACTTTATAAAAAGTATAGCATTATGAAAAACATTATGAAAAACGCATGTTAATTTTAAAATCAACCTATAAAAAATTTTCATTGGTTAATTTTAAAATAAATGCGTGTTTGTACAGTCCATTAGTAACGTTTTTCATAATGCTAAACTTTTAATACAATACGTTTTTATAAGTTTTTTGTCATGTTTTTATAAGTTATTTAAGTTTTAATATTATTTGAACATCCACTTAATTCTTCTAGATATTTTTCTACTTCAATTAAAATTTGGGATTACTAATGTTGCTTGAACAAAAAATGAATTTTAAAAGTTATAAGTGCGTTATAAAAGTAATAACACTATTATAGTGTTATTACTTTTGTAATGCAGTTAGTGACTAGAGTGTTATTACTTTTGTAATCGTAAGTTTATTGTTTTATTTTTTATTTTTTTGCAACAAATTTAAGTTGATTCTCCCCTTAAAAGCAAGGAACACGGTTTTGTATAAACTAATAATTTGAATACTAGATATTTCTCCAGATTTTGCGTTTCGCATTCGCTTTTATTCAACCCTTGTTGTTATATTAAAATTTTATAAATAAATTTTACAAACACATTGCAATTTGTAGTTTTGCTATCCCCTTCAAAAAAAATTAAGAAAAAGAAAGTCATTCCTTCTATTGTAAACTTCAAACTGTTATTTTTTTGCTTTGCCTTATCTAATTTTGTTGCTGAATGTAACTCTAAAGAAACAAAAATAAAAACAGTACACAAATTATTTAAATTATTAATTTGTTTTTATTTTTTCTATTTCAATCTCTTCTCATTTTGTTAGTTTTGTTTTTTTTGGTTTTGAAATTTTTTTCAGCATTATTATAAAACATGAACACGGTGTTCATGTTGTCTAAAATAATATACTCGCATGTGGTCATACGAGACGAAAAACCGCAAGCCTTTCCTGGGAAGGCTTGAATTAGTGGTTGCTTGCAGCCTTGTTGGAAATAAAGATGTTTTTTTAAAAAAAGAAAAAAAATTACCCAACTGTATGAAATAAATGTTATTTTCAAAATCACAAAATATATCCTCAAATTTCCTCAAATGTAAAAATTTACTTTTTAAAACAATGATAAAAAAATAAAAAGTTTATGATGAAATGAATTCTTTTGCCACCGTAACTTGCAGAAAAGTCTCTTTTGAAGAAAAAGTCTTGATTTTAGATGTATTTAATTATGTTTATGAACCAAAAATGTTTAATTAACCAAGTAGCTAATTCGTATTTATTTTTACATATTCATATGTGTCAAATGCATTTAAAATTTTTATATTCCACAGCGTAAAGTTGACTGAAAAAAATGTCTTCTTGACTATTGTGGGGCCCCTAACATTGCAGGGCCCAGGGCTATAGCCCCCTCTAACTCCAACCCTCTTTAATCAGGCACTGTAAATAAGAAATGAGTGTAAAAATTATATTATACTCTTTGATAAATAAAAGAACATTTGTTTACTTATGAAGCAATAGTAAGATGTTATTTTATATAAAAAATGTCACTTAATTTTATAAAGAAATTATAAAAGAGCGATGTTTCAAAATTATTTGTTCTAAATGTAATTTATTTTGCTTTGAAGTTTTTTTGCGTTAAAAGTTATTTTCTTTCCCTAGTTTATTTTATTTTTTTTGCAATTGTCTCTCATCGGTCCAGTTAATCTTCTTTGTGCTTTTTTTTTGTTTTTTGAAATGTTCTCAAAACAACTAATCTGGCCAGTTTTTTACAACTAAATATTATTTTTCTGGTCAGT